GAACAGGAACCTGCTGTAAAACAGCAATTATGCTGAGTCAGGCTTGATTTTTTTTCCTGTTGAATCAATAAATCAAATCAAATTTATTCTGTGTATGAATGTACACTAAATATATGATAAAGCTATTTTACTAATAAATGTCAGGATCTGTGTTTTTTGTATGCTTTTCTTCCTCAACGCCACATCAGCATTTTACCTTTTTACTCCTTGTGTTTGAGGCTGGAGTTCAGGTTTCAAACCTCCCATCATTTCTCCTCATCTTACAATTATTTRGTGCAACAATCAGGACTTAATATAGATTATTATGAACCGTAACCGATACGTTTCTTCTTTTATTTCTCCAGCTGTGACAGTTTCACTTGCATGAAACAAGTTTATTGTTGTGTTCTGTTAGAACTRAAAGCAACAAATCCAGGATTTCTTTTAAGAGTTTCTTGCAGATCAAGGTTTTATTTAAGCTATGCTGGTGAAGAGTCTAAGTCATCCAGGTCATGATCAATAAAAAAAAAGATAAAAACAAAACCATTGGACTTTGCTTCTCTTCCGGGTCTTTCTTGATTCTGAGAAGACCTGCATTAGAAGCTTTGGTTCAAATGAAGGTTTWCCTGGAACTACTTGACCCTCAACAATGGAGAGTTTTTGTTTGCCTGGCTCACAGAGGGATGTTTTGGTCACATTCATGAATTAAAGTAAACTGAGTAGGAATCAGGCTTAACGCTCCATTATAATTTTTTAAAAGATGAAATCCGAGACCACCTCGTCTGTTCARTTTATTCTTGTTTGACATAAATGTTTTCCTTCGCTTCTGTTCTGTGTTCTTCCTTTCTGACCTAGTGGGGACATGTTGGCCCTGAAGTTCTGATKTCAAAAGCTTTGTGTTCCAGTGGATAAAGAACAGGGGTGAAGYTAGAGGGGTGGTCAGGGTGACCCCTGGCACCCCCAAATAATTGACAATTGGCCAGGGATCCTGGAATTTGCATTTAGATTTTGTTAAAGATTATTTTCTGATACTACTTTACTGTATACATTTTCAGCTGTGTATGTTTGAAATTATARCCCTTTGCAAAATTTGTATTAGCATTAGTGGTCAGCTTAATTTGAGATTAGCATTGGCAATCAGCATGTGATCATTCACAGATAATCCACAATAAATTTCCTCTTAGTACTCCTAAAATTGAATTATAGTCATTTAAAGTTTAAGTTAGCTGTGGTAGTCATCTTGAATTTTTGATTGGCATTTATTTAGTAAAGATTGTGTTGGGCTAATTCTACACTAATAATGTTTTAATTGTATGTCAAAAAATGGCTGAAYATTAAGTTCTGACTAGCACCCAGCATGTTTTTTTTAGATTGTTCTTATTATCACATAACATTTCAGCTTAATATTTCTCAAAACACCTGAATTTAATTTATTTGTAATTAGCTGTGGCAGCCATCTTCAATTTTCAAATCCAGTGTGCTTTAATTTATTGTGCTCCCCTAAAAACACCCTGGCCACCCATTGCAAAAAAAAAAAGTGTATCTCCACCCCTGGTAATGAGAGTCAAATCAAACTAAACTTTAGTTTGTGTGACGGGGATGACTTAATACTACCACACAGCAGCTGAACATCTGTAAATAAAACTGAGTTATGATCAATATTAGTCGGCAGGCATTAATAAACTAAAAATAGAACCTAATTGAACCAATTTTCCAGAAGATGACTGTGAATATGTTTCAGCAGGAGGTATAAATATGTCAAGAAAAAAGCCAGTCAAAGAACTGTGCAACAAAAGTTTGTTTAATCTTTGAATTCCCCTGAGACATATCAATCATTTCTACAACATGTACTGGTTATAAATCGCATTTCCACCTACCCTCAGTTTTCTAATCATCATGACCCACAGTCAACATTAGTGTTTCACTATGAATAATGAGAAAACAACAGATTCATCTTACTTTATAGTTCCTCTCACACCCTTTAAGAGACAAATATTTTCATTATAACAGAATCAGACTATGATTTTCTGATGAAGTACGCCCGCTGAGATTTTCACTGTTTTACCCCTTTCACGTTCAGAGCATCAAAGTGTCCAAATTTTACTCCCAATGCTGCAGCCATGGGTGGCAACCTCCTTTCTTCTGCCTCTCAGAAAGAAGGTTGCCAGATCAAATCACGATGTGTTCGAGTTTGCGTGTTCTCTCTGTGCAAGCATGGGATTTCTTTGGATACTCTAGTTTCCTCCCGCATACCAAAAACATGAATGTTGGGCTAAATGGCAGTAGTAGGCACAGCAAACCAAAAATTAGTCTAACTACCCACTAACTGCTAATCTGCTAAACAAAAATCCTAGCTCTGCACTAATTTGCTACACAGATTWAAAAAGTTAGTGGAAGGTAATGCTAACTGTTAATTTGACTCTCACAAAGTCCACGTCATGTGTTTTCATCTCTTTCGAGTTGAAGACTGACACAAATCTGGTTTTATTTGAAGGTGGCTGGGATCATTTGTGGCAAATCGGTCAATCCAAACCAGAGTTATGGCTTTGTCTAACTTGTGATGYTTCCAGTTTAACCCTTTTAGAATAAAAGCTTTTTTAAATCAGGTTTGTGTCTTTGTAAGTACTTCATTAAATGGGAAGCTAGGTCCACTATTAGTRGATTAGTGGAAATGTGCCCACCACTGCCAATTGGTAGAGTAAGAAAGTGAATGGTTGTCTCAATTTTCTTCATGTGGTTCTGTGATGGACTGGA